CTCCTGAGTTTCTCCGATACACCGGCTACATAGGGGATGACAATGTTGTTGCATCTGTCTTTTTTTTTTTCCTGTGCATCTTTGCTGACTTTATAAACGCCTGGATTCTGGATTCCAGATACTGAAAGCATGTAGAATATCTTTGCTGTTACTGTGTGTGCGTGTGTGTGTGTGTGTGTAAATCACAATAACAGGCTCTCGTGTAGATGCAGTGCTGTGTGTACTACTGGTTTCTGATTTGTGTTTGCTTCGAAGAAAACAACAACAGCTGTAACACGTTGTTTTTGTAGAATTTATCACATCAATGGCGATATATATTTTAAAAAGTAAATATTAATAAAGCATGCAATCAGTGATTTGCTTGCACTGATAATGTACACACTAGAATAATTATGACTTTAAATCACTAGATGGCAGTGTTTGATTATAGAAAAAAAAATAATCAAGCGAAGCTAAACATAAATTTCCCAGAGGAACCCACCCGAGGGATTAATAAAGTTTTATCTAATCTAATATGTTTATATTGTTTATTTATATGTTCGATTATTAAGCTTTTATCTTCAATGGCTTTTCTTATTTCGGATGTTACTGTCTCAACCTCTTAAAGATAAATTAATTGTTATTATTATTATTATTCAATAATATTATTATTTTATTTCAAATTTCCGATTTTTAATTCAAATTTACTTATTGTTTATAATATTTTGCACAGTCAAGGAGCAGTTCAGGAAGCATTTCACTGTGTGTTGTACTTGTATGACTACTATTAGTAGCATTAGTGGTATCACTCCCCCTCTTTTCCTGACATGCAGAGCACATATTTCAGGTTCAGGCATTGTGAAGAACCTTTTGGACAAACGTTTGAGTTTCGAGTCTTAAAACCAAATCGTTATCCGGATTACCACAGATCGATGCCTCGCTGCGTTCATGAATATCGGAGACATCACTCGTAGGATAATGAGGCTAATTTAAGACGTTAAAATCTTTGGCTTATCAGTTGAATAAAACACAACAGCAACTTTGACTAGTACTGCACAGTATTACAATCATCATTGGTATTTGTTGGATCCGAGAAGAAAAGATTCAAGTACTACAATTCGATGGTTCCTTTTCATTCTCAACTATGAGCGCACTGCGAAATATATCATAATGTTCAATGTAGATCTAAAAGAGAGAGAAATATGGAGTTTCAGGAGTTCCGAGGAGCTCGTAAAGGCATCGTGCGTATCACATGGCAGGTGATAGAGCTGAGGGAGCTGGAGCTACAGTGCAGCGCAGAGTACAGACAGACAGACAGTTAACACAGGTCAGGGCACCTTGCGCGCACGACTGCTGTATGTACGCGTAATGGCGCGTTTGTGCCCTCTCACTTTATCTTCAAGCGTCTCCCAGAAACGCAGTTAAAGGATTTGTTTGGACTGCGCGTCAGAGGCTCGCACAACGTGAGTAACACGACTTTAAAGTAGTAGTTTCCCCGCATCTCTAATACATTTAAACTCCAACTTATTTTTGTGTAAAAATAGCTTTTTCATTTCGGTAATTACATTTTACAAGTTGTTGTTTCGCTGCAACAAAAAAAGCACCAAATATTTGACAAGTTGTCTAATTCCTGAGTAATTAGCGTTTAATATGTGCGAGTTAAAGTGCGGCTAATGTTTTTGTCTTCTTTTTCATACTTAAAAGTGAATTTGTGGTCCGAGGTTCGCAGATCGTGCTTATGGTGGCACTCGGTTATGTTAGGAGAGACTTCAGCACAGCCTGTATTTCAAATATTGTATCAAGTCTTAAAAATGCTTCTGTGATAATCCTGCTGAGGTCGTGCTGTGAGCATATCAGCCTTTCTATTAAGAGTAATTGGCACATAAGGTTGAATGGGACAGTATAAGTATACATGGTTTGTTTTCTTCCTTGTACATGCAAAATGACAACTTCTTTTGCTAAGGCGGAGCTCTGAAACCAAATAATGAAAAATAAATGTGCAAGCTGTTGTGGCATACACGGGTGGGCGGGGCTAGCTTCAAACAGAAAAGCATAGGCTGAGGAACTTAGCACACGCATAAAGGTAATATGCTGCTGTTGCTGCTGCAACAAAAAGGTATTACATGGGTATTTTTGATTGGTCCTTTCACCCTAATAACTTCGCAGTAGAGACGAACTTCGCATTGTGCACATCAGTGACCTCCGACACCCAGTCACTCAGATTTTCTACAGAATGTAGTAATGAAGTCTGTATTCTGAGTCACTACATGGCACAAATGCATGACACACCTAACAGAGGTGGGTACTTTAAAAACCCTCACCTCGCCCACTGAGGGCCGTAACAGTGCCATGACAGTACCACTGGTAAGTGATTTCCTGTGAAAGTGAGGCAGTTTTATACTGTAATGACTGTGGACAGAAATATGATAGAAAAAAAAGCAAAATGATGTCAAAGTAAAGGACAAGCATGACACAAACTGCGCAACATGCTGTAAGTTTCTAGCAAAGCTGAAATAAGTAGTCAAATGTTCGGTCCCAACAGGGAGATGTTACGAAAATGGTGCTTTGGGTCTTTTTACACAAAAAGGGTTTGGTGTGCTTTCTTGGAGTATGATCTGCTCTTAATTCCAGCTCAAATAGATGCTAAACCTCTTCATCTTTACAGAATATCACATAGTGAGCCGAAGCTTTTCTTAGAATTTACAACAAGAAAGTTTACACAAGCCAGAAATTCCAAAATCGTCCCCGTCACCCTTAATTTTCCCTACATTGTATATCCCATTATATATATATTTTTCTACATAACAACAAAATGCAACATGGTCTGTTGGAGACAACATAGTAGTTTCACTGTGACACTGGTGTTTCTCCGCTTGCTTGCTCAGTCATGTACTGTCAGCTCGGAGCTATTAAATGATGTTTAGTTGCACCGACACATGCTGTGTAATTGCAGATCATCAATTTCTGACAGCGTGAGTAAAATGGAAAGGGGGCGGGTGAAAGAGGGGGGGACGCTGATATGCTAACAGCAGAATATCAAGGTTGATGTGTGGCCCCCCTTCGCTGAAGCATCTGCTCCATCTAAGGCTGGAGACAGAGCACACACACACACACACACACATAAACATCAGAGACATGAGAGAGCTGAAGGAGCCTCCTGCCAGTGAATACATCAGGCCGGTGCCTCCTTTCTGTTGCAAATCTCATTTTAAAAAGAGACGGAGTTGAAAGGCATCATTGCCGCTGACGACAGTGAACTGATTAACGCTGCTGAGGTTGGCACTTGGGTGGCATTAGCACACGGAAACAGAAGAAATGCACACAGGAGCTCGGCTGAAGTGGCAGTTGATAAAAGCCCCAAATTGGTAACATTTATCGTTGCAACAGTTTATTTTTGACAATAGCGTTCATCGGCTTGTCGTGATAGGTTTACGCAGGGTGCACACACGCTGGGTCAAGCAGATGATGGCACTCATTTCTGTGATCAAAGCTGCTCGTCTAAGTCCCAGAGTGGCCATGTTCAGATGATTGCTCTGTCATCTTTACAGCCGCTGTCGTCCATGGCTATGGTGTAGTTCCACTGCTGCTTAGAG